CAGTTGCCCCCACACGTGCCCTACCCCCTCCTCATCCCTGACATTTAAATTCTACCTGAAAGAAAAGTCAGAAGAGGAAATTTTATTTATCATTGAATTGAGAGAATGACCAGAAAATTCTCTCGCCCATTCATATATCCAGGCAGTCTTTATTTAATAGTCGACTATGGGGCAGACAGTATGCTGGCTGCTTTAAAAGTATAACAGATTTGAAAATAAGGTTGAGTGACTATTTGATAGAACTTGAGAAAAACGGGAAATTGTTGCTTTTCCTTATTATTATTATTTTTTTGTTGTTAATATATTTTATTAATTTTTTACAGAGAGGAAGGGAGAGAGACAGAGAGTTAGAAACATCGATGAGAGAGAAACATCGACCAGCTGTCTCCTGCACATCTCCCACTGGGGATGTGCCTGCAACCCAGGTACATGCCCTTGACCGGAATCGAACCCGGGACCCTTCAGTCCGCAGGCCGACGCTCCATCCACCGAGCCAAACCGGTTTCGGCTTCCTTATTATTTTTTAAAAATCCACTGAGCCAGACTGTCTAAGGCAGTGGTCGGCAAACTCATTAGTCAATAGAGCCAAATATCAACAGTACAACGATTGAAATTTCTTTTGAGAGCCAAATTTTTTAAACTTAAACTATATAGTACTAACTGGTTTGGCTCAATGGATAGAGCGTCAGCCTGCGGACTCAAGGGTCCCAGGTTCAATTCCGGTCAAGGGCATGTCAACCCAGGTACATGCCCTTGACCGGAATCGAACCTGGGACCCTTCAGTCCGCAGGCCGACGCTCTATCCACTGAGCCAAACCGGTTTCAGCAATAAAATATATTTTTTAAAAAACTTAAACTATATAGGTAGGTACATTGTTATTAACTTAATGAGGGTACTCCTAGGGGTTAGGAAAAGCTACACTCAAGGGGCCAAAGAGCTGCAGGTGGCTCGCGAGCTGCAGTTTGCCGACCACGGGTCTAGGGCGTCACTGATTTGGGAGATCATATAGTGTTTCTTAGATGTTCTGAGAATTCTGTGACTCAAAAAAAAAGGTTTAAAATCATTGCTCTAAGTGATTTTTAGTTACATACCTTTCTGTTTGTGGAAAACATATGCAACTAAACTCTGATTTGTTGTATCTGGGGCTTCCCTGAAATCTTGCGAGAAGTGTTCGAGGGACAAAATACAGTTTTCCTTCCGTCTTTACAACCTCTTCTCCTTCTCTGAAAAGCACTGAAGAATTCATTTTTATTGCTTTCATGAGAGGTACCTTCAGTGTTTTAGCCGAGATAACTGACTATTTTGGCTAAACAAACAACCATAAAACCTTGAACCCAGAAATTCACTGTGGGTTCTGAATACTAAAGCCAGAGGACTTCGGCAATGAAACAGTTGAGATGGTGGCTTCGGTTACAAATGGCTTCCGTAGGAGTCCTTAAGGAGTAACCTAAGGACTGAGGGAACGGATCCGAGGTGCATGGGACAGTCAGGACCCGGGAGCCAGCTGGCTCTGGGGCGGCAGAGAGGAAAGTAGGGTAGAGAAGAAGGTGGCATTCATGCTGGAGAAGTTTTCCAAGTTCCCTGCCTCAGATCTGACTGGGTCAGGACAAAGTGTGTGAAATTGGATCTTTTATAAAAAAAAATATTTTTTTTATTGCTTTCAGATAGTCAGGGAGAGGGAGAGAGAGAGAAACATCAATGATGAGAGAGAATCATGGATCGGCTGCCTCCTGCAGGCCCCTTCACTGGGGAGCGAGCCCACAACCCATGCCTGTGCCCTGACCGGGAATCGAACCGCGACCTCTTGGTTGACGGTGAACTTGGATCGTAAAGGAGTGTCGCTTGTGTTCACCTTAAGCCTCTCCGAGGAGAATGGAAATTAAACGTGAATCTTCTGAGGAATGCTCAGTCCTCCCTGCCTTGTCTCAAGTCCTCCCTCCCTCTGTGCAGGTGGATGGAAGCATGCCTGGGGGAAGATCTGCCTCCCACCACGGAGCTGGAGGAGGGCCTTCGCAACGGGGTCTACCTCGCCAAACTCGGGAACTTCTTCTCTCCCAAAGTGGTGTCCCTGAAGAAGATCTACGACCGGGAGCAGACCAGATACAAGGTGAGTCCTCCCGGCGAACCGCTAACACGGCCGTGAACGTGAGAGGTTAGCATGCTTTCTCCTGTGTACGAGTTACTGAGAAATGAGTTTAAGGGTGTTTGTTCCAACAAAAGTGGAGACAATATTGCAACCTCAAGATGTAGTAGTACAAGAACTTCAGCTATTTGTATTTCTTTTTTTTAAATAGATCTCTTTATTGATTTCAGAGAGGAAGGGAGAAAGAGAGAGAGATGGAAACATCAATGATGAGAGAGAATCATTGATCGGCTGCCTCCTGCACGCCCCCTACTGGGGATCAAGCCCGCAACCCAGGCATGTGCCCTTGGCTGGAATCGAACCCGGGACCCCTCAGTCCGCAGGCTGACGCTCTATCCACTGAGCCAAGTGGGCTAGGGCTGTTTGTATTTCTGATACATTTCTTACTATGGTGGGTATCATGGTCCTTGTGAAATTTTTTTTATTTAATCCTCATCTGAGGATATTTTTCCATTGATTTTTAGAGGAAGTGGAAGAGAGAGGGAAACACAGAGAGCAATATCAGTGTGAGAGAAACACATTGATTGGTGGCCTCCTGCATGCACCCTGACCAGGGCCCTGGCGGGAGAGGAGCCTGCAACTGAGGAGCATGCCCTTGAACGGAATTGAACCTGGGACCCTTCGGTCCATAGGCCAATTCTCTATCCACTGAGCCAAACTGGCAAGGGCCTTGATGAATTTTTTATTCCTTAGAAGGTAGCAGGAAGTAACTAGGGGAACTACTTTAACTTTAACCAAGTCTTGAGATTTGTTGGCAAATTAAAAGCGTTAGCAACTTTAGGGAAAAAAGATCAACCTGTGATATTAGAGTTTAAGGTAAAGTGGGAAGGAGATCCAGTTTCAGAAAATGGAGATAAGTGAAAGGGTTTGATTCCTGTGGTCCACGGCCCTGAGAAAGAAGACTGCTTAGTTCAGGTGACAAGGACCAGAATTGGTCGTCTAAGAGATTCTGTGGGAGCCTTCCCGAGAGCTCTTATTTGAAATAAGGATGCATATAAAATAGCGGAAGATGGCAAAACCAACAGCGAATATAAGAGCAGTTGACTGTAATAATGAGCTAAGGATGAAGATGCAATCAAGAGAGATTTTTATGTTCAAATTTAAAGGGAAACAAGGAAGGTATATAGACCCTAAGCCAAAGCCAAATTAAGGTCTCAGATAGAAACCTATCTTTTCTTTTTTTAAAAAATATATTTTTATTGATTTCAGAGACAAAGAGAGAGGGAGAGGGAGAGAGAGATAGAAACATCAATGATGAGAGAGAATCATTGATCAGCTGCCTCCTACACACCCTACACTGGGGATCGAGCCCGCAACCCGGGCATGTGCCCTGACCTGAAATTGAACTGTGACCTCCTGGTTCCTAGGTCAACACTCAACCACTGAGCCACACCGGCTGGGTCTCTCTGGATAATTTTTAAATGAGAGGAGCGGAGATGTGGATCTGGCTTGTCTTGTTGGGATTGGAAAGTGAACATAATGCTATAGACAGACCTTGAATTTAAGGGGACCTTGTAAAGTTTGTCAGGGAAACTTGCAGGAGAGTTTTTATTTAGTATTGTGTCCCTATTGGCAATGTGTCTATTTTTTCAATTAAAAACATTATTTATTAAATTGATTGGGGTGACACTGGTCAACATGAACATACAGGCTTCAGGTGTGGGTTTCTATGTTACTGGATCTGTATAGTGCACCGTGTGCCCACCACCCAAAGTCAGATCTTCTCCTGTCACCTTACATAAGGACCCCCTTCTCCCCCGCCTAATGGTCTTTTATTTGTTCTAGGCGACTGGCCTGCACTTCCGGCACACGGATAACGTGATTCAGTGGTTGAATGCCATGGACGAGATTGGCTTGCCTAAGGTAACTCACGTGATGGTCATAGTTCTGGCTCAGCTCTGTCTTGGCATAAGGGTTCTCACTCTACTTATGAAAGTATTCTTTATTTTCAGTGGAATTTGTGGTGATTTTTTACAAAAGTACTTAAGATCTCTTTCTTCTGTTCCTTTTAGAAAATAGTTTTGTTCTTTTTGTTTTATATTCCTCATCCCTGCTTCACCCCACCTTAGAGAAATTCCCTGTGATATTATTGACTTCTACTACATCAAAATTGTTGTAGACTTACATTAAAATTCACATACCATGATATTCTGCCAGACACCACACGAATTTTAAAGTATATAATTCAGTGGGTTTTTATTATTACTATTATTAACAATGTTGTTTCATTAAAATTTGACTTTAGGAAATATTTTAGAAATGTTATCTTCCAGCTTCAGAATAACCAAATTTAGGGTGTTTGAAGGGCCATTTTTTAAAAAAAATATTTTTATTGATTTCAGAGAGGAAGGAAGTTGGTGAGAGAGATTGAAACATCAATGATGAGAGAATCATTGATTGGCTGCCTCCTGCATGAACCCCACTGGGGATTGAGTGGGAAACCCTGGCATGTGCCCTGACCGGGAATCGAACCAGGAACTTCTGCTTCATCAACCACTGAGCCATGCTGGCCGGGCCATCCTTGACTGTTTTGCTCAGGAGTCTGTTTAGTGCTGCTCTGAGTGAAATTGCCATCTCTAGCTACCCGGTCCCACTGGAACTCGTAAAAGCTGTGCTTGTATTATCATTCTTACAGGCATGGCATCTTTCTCTACTACCCCACCCCAATTCTTTGACCTAAGAATTCTTCTAGGAAGTTATCCCTCCACCATAATCAGACAAGCTTAAAAAGATGTATATGTAAGGATTTTTCAGCCTTGCTTATGGTAGAAAAAATTGATAGCAAACCACATGTCCCTTCACTAGGGAATTAACTGTGATGCAGACAGATACCAGTGCAGCCATAAAACAGGATGACGTTACTCTGTATTGACAAAGGAAGTTGTCTGGGATGTGCTAAGTGGAAAAATAACATAATAGGCTAAGGTTATAAGAGTTTATGTTCTGGCTAAGATGAGATCACTATTTTTGTGTAAAAATAAAGTGAATGTTCTTAGGAAAAATCTGTTAGGAAATACAGTTTTCATTTTTGTGTGATGGGATTAAGGGTTGTTTTTTTAAAAAAAAAATTTTTTTTTCTTGATGATAGAGAGTCATTGATTGGCTGCCTCCTGCATGTCCCCTACTGGGGATGGAGCCCGCAACCCAGGCATATGCCGAACCGTGATTTCCTGGTTCATAGGTCGATGCTCAACCACTGAGCCACACGGGCTAGGCTGCTTTTTTCTTTTTCTTTATACTGTTCTATAGGCTAAAATTTTGTAAACAACAACAAAAAGTGAAGGGGGGGAAAGGGAGACGTGGAGTATTAGGAAGTGCCTACAGCCGATTGTAAATGCGTAGCACAGTGCTGAACTCACTGTTGCATGAGTTAAATTCAGAGCTGAGTCTGTTGGAATGAGTTAAATTCAGAGCCGAGTCTTCGCCGAAGACAAGTTTTTGTCCTCTGTTTTTTCAGAGCAGAGTGCTGAAGCTGTCTTCCTCGCACTGGTGTGTTTGAGAATTAGGCCCCACAATGTCAGGAAATGCAGTACGTCAAATTTTGACAGCTACTTGGCTCTCTGTGCACCTGTAACTTCCTGTTCCTGTTTTTTGGGTGGTGTGCCTATTGGGCAAGATGACTTAACCTCTTTTGAATGGTACTAAGAGCCTTGTTAATACTTGCTGTTGCTAGGAGTAATATTCTTACTATAAAATGCTTTTTTGTTGTATTTTTTTTTTTTTGGTTAATCCTCTCTCGAGGATATCCTTCATTGATTTTTATAGGGAGAGTGGGAGAGAGAGGGGAACGCAGAGAGAAATATCGATGTGAGAGAAACACATTGATTGGTTGCCTCTTGCACGAGCCCTGACCAGGGCCCAGGCCTGGAGGAGCCTGCTAACTAGGTATGTGCCCTTGACCGGAATCGAACCTAGGACCCTTCCGTCGGCAGGCTGACGCTCTACCCACTGAGCCACGCTGGCCGGGCTAAAACGCCTTTTTTTTTTTTTTAATATATTTTATTGATTTTTTAACAGAGAGGAAGGGAGAGAGATAGAGAGTTAGAAATATCGATGAGAGAGAAACATCGATCAGCTGCCTCCTGCACATCTCCTACTGGGGATGTGCCCGCAACCCAGGTACATGCCCTTGACCGGAATCGAACCTGGGACCCTTCAGTCCGCAGGCCGACGCTCTATCCACTGAGCCAAACCGGTTTCGGGTAAAACGCCTTTTTAATGATTGGCTTTTATTACCTTTTTTGTTTACTAACAATAGTGCGTTGTCCTGGACCACAGTTAACAAACATGGAAACTCAAAGGCTTTCCAGGACAGCAGGGCTTTCTGGGCTGTCAGTTTTGAAATGTCCTCCCTTCATGATTTAGGTCCGGAAGACTCTGAGTAATGTAGACAGAAGACACTCAGCCTGAACATGTAGTGTTGGCCGTGGTATAAGATATGATATATGATCAACAGTACATGTTCAGTATTTACTGGGATGTCTTTCCTGATCTCTTTATATGGTACACACAGGTTAATTATAGAAACTTACTGTGATAAATTTTTGGTTCTTATCCTTCTTGACTGTTTATTATGGTTGGTACCATTGGCCACCTCCTCCATGAAATACTTTTGTTATTTTGAGTTTGATTTTTTTTAATTGTTTTTAGTCCTCTGTTTCCTTCAACTATTCTACCTTCCATATCCTACTAGTGGGCATTCCTTACGATGCAGTCCTTATTTTAGCTACTTTCTCTCATTCTCATTTCAGTTATTTTTATTATTATTATTGTTAAAATGTTTTTTATTGATTTCAGAGAAGAAGGGAGAGGGAGAGAGAGGGGATAGAAACATCAATGGTGAGAGATAATCATTGATCGGCTACTTCCTGCATGCCCCACGCTGGGGATCGAGCCCGCAACCCGGGCAGGTGTCCTGACCAGGAATCGAACTTGTGGCCTTCTGGCTGATAGGTCGATGCTCAACCACTGAGCCACACCAGCCGGGCAGTTTCAGTTATTTTGAAGACTCTTTGCTGTAAGATAAACACGGTATCTTCAAGTGGCCATTTCTCCTCGGATAGCTTTCTAGCACCTAAGATTTCTCACGTCTGAAACCAAACCTCCCTTTTCCGGCACGTGGACATCCCTCCTCTGTAATGAATGGGACCTTGTTATCATTTTCCCAGTTACCCGGGCTCCAAACCTTGGCGTCCCCTTGGCCTCCTACGCGCAGTGATTCCCCAGCCTCCCTCCTTTACTGGAAGCGCCTCTTTGATCTGCGGACACAGCCTGGCAGCGGCCTCCCTAGCTTCCATCTCCCCGCCTTTCGCTGCATCCTGTGTCTCGTCTCCAGTCAGATCTTCCCGGGGCTCTGAGGCTCTGTTTTCACTCTTTGGCTCCAAAGTGAGGACTTCTCTGTGGCCTGCTTATCAGGTTCAGAATTGCCTGACTCTCCAGGGCCTCACAATCTGATTCCGTCCTCCCTACCCAGCCTTGCTTTCCTGTTTCTGAAATGTATTCTCTGCTGTTGTCGGGGAGGTTGGCTCACGGCGACTGGGATTTTCACCTTTCACGGGAGGGCATCCCAATCTTGGGAAGTGAGCACGTGGAGCTGGAAAAATTATCAGAAAGGATGATTCTGATACATCCCATTTCTCGGGGGTGGGGTGTGTGGGGGGGCAGTTCTTCCCAGTGGAGAGGCAGGATGACTATGGGACGAGCATCAAAACAAAGAATTGGCCCTGGCCGGTGTGGCTCAGTGGATAGAGCACCGGCCTGCAGACTGGAGGGTCCTGGGTTCGATTCTGGTCAAGGGCACACGCCTGGGTTGCGGGCTCCATCCCCGCTGGGGAACATGCAGGAGGCAGCTGATCAATGATTCTCTCTCATCATTGATGTTTCTATCTCTCTCTCCCTCTCCCTTCCTCTCTGAAATCAACAAAAATGTATTTAAAAACAACAACAATAAAACGAAGAATTGAACACAATGTATTAAGTGCTGTAATAGATACCTAGTCCTGTAGCATCTCCCACTGCCTGGTCAGAATTCTTCTAATCACCTTGTAATTCAGCCTTTCACTTCTCCAATCCTTTCCCCCCTAAATTACAGCTTGAGTCCTGTGTGGTGCCTCATTACCATGAGAATAGGTTTTGAACTTCAAGGCCATTCACACTCTAAAGCTATTCTGTTCCTATCCCACCTCATTCACAAATGCGTCAAGTATAGAGCTCCTTCCATGAACTTGGCACTGGGCTTGGCGTCGAAGATACAGCAGTGAGCAGCCCAGAGTGGGTCCCTGCCTTCATGTGGCTTATGGGCTGGTGGAGGAGTCAAGCAGATGACAGCACAAGCGATTGATTGATTGATTGATTGATTGTGCTAAATGCTCCCAAGGAAAACCACCCATCACCCACAGTCCCATACTGTACACCCTCTATTCTAGCTCCTTCATCTCAATGTCTTCCCACTTCCCCCAAGCAGTATGATATAGTGTAATGTTTAATAGTTTTTTCAGTGTCTAAATGTAGTGGTTTGCACAGATGGAAGCACTTAGTACAGTGGTTCTCAACCTTCCTAATACCGCAACCCTTTAAATACAGTTCCTCATGTTGTGGTGACCCCCAATTTCATTGTTACAAATTGAACATAATGAAAGCATAGTGATTCATCACAAAAAATATATGTAATTATATATGTGTTTTCCGATGGTCTTAGGCGACCCCTGTGAAAGGGTCGTTCGACCCCCAAAGGGGTCGCGACCCACAGGTTGAGAACCGCTGACTTAGTAAATGTTCTGTGGAATTCCTACCCAGTCTAGGCATGGCAGATAGTAACCAGGAAGATTACAATCCTTCAAAGCCAGTGTTTTATTTATTTATTTTAAATAATTCTTTATTGTTGAAAGTATTACATATGCCACCTTTTCTCCCCCATTGGCTCCCTCCAGTTATCTCGCCAGGCCCTCACCTACCCCAGGCCCTCACCTCCCCATTGTCTGTGGCCATGGGCCATGCATGTATGCATACAAGGTTTTTGGTTGATTACCGCCCAGCCACCCACTCTCCCCTACCTGCACTCTGATCCATGCTTCCATGCCTCTGGATCCGCTCCGTTCATCAGTTTATTTTGTTCATTAGATTCCGCATATGAGTGAGATCATGTGATACTTGTCTTTCTCTGACTGACTTATTTCACATAGCATGATACTCTCCAAGGTCCCTCCATGCTGTCTCAAAGCAAAGCCAGTGTTGTAAACTGGACTAGAACTTGGGATTGATTTGCCCGTGACTGAGTCTGTAGTGCATAAGTCACTTTCACATACACAGGGACAGTCAGTGGGTTGACCAAATAAGGTTTTTTCAAATGGTGTTTTTTCATTCTGTATTGTAGCATTTTATTCCTTGCAGCACTTATAGTTAAATATCTCTTCACCCTAATGAAATAATTTGCTGAATGCCAACAATGTTTGCTAACTGTCCGATGTTTTATTTGTGCTATTGATGATTGGTGAGTGATCAAAAGAAACCCAGTGGGTGGATACTTACTCTACTACTTTTATTTCTCCTCAGATTTTTTACCCAGAAACTACAGATATCTATGACCGAAAGAACATGCCGCGATGTATCTATTGTATCCATGCACTCAGGTAATCAGATTTCCTTGGTAAAATAAGCAGTGCACAGAGAACAGATCAGTGGTTGCCAGAGGTGAGGGTTGAAAGATGGGTGAAATGAGTGAAGGTGGTCAAAAGGTACAAACTTCCAGTTATAGACTAATTGAGGCCTGCCAATGTAATGTGCAGTGTAGTGGCTGTCCTATATAATAAAAGGCTAATAAGCAAATTGAACAGCAGAATGACCACCAGGGAGCAGACGCTCAATGCAGGGGCTGCCTCCTGGTGGTCAGTGCGCTCCCACAGGGGGAGTTATTCTGCCATTCAGTTGATTTTCCTATTACCCTTTTATTATATAGGATTGGGATTTCCTAAACTCAGGGGTCCTCTCCGCTAACGCAATCAACTTGTGTGTACAAGTGTCATCTGGTCTTTTTTTGTGTTGCCCTGTGGGTATTGGAGCTTAAGTACCTGCCACATATTTGGATACTGTGATCACTGTAATCTCATTTAGTTGTAAAATTAAAAACACACACGCCCAAACTCATGGAAACAGAGCACAGGTTACCAGATGTGGGGGATGGTAGATGGGGGGAAAAGGCGAGGTGGTCAAAAGGTACAAACTTCCAGTTATAGACTAATTGAGGCCTGCCAATGTAATGTGCAGTGTAGTGGCTGTCCTATATAATAAAAGGCTAATAAGCAAATTGACTCAACGGCAGAACGACCGATTGGTATGATGCACACTGACCACCAGGGGGCAGACGCTCAGTGCAGGGGCTGCCTCCTGGTGGTCAGTGCGCTCCCACAGGGGGAGCGCCGCTCAGCCAGAGCCGGGTTCACAGCTGCTGAGCGCAGCTGCGGTGGCGGGAGCCTCTCCCACCTCTGTGGCAGTGCTAAGGATGTCCAACTGATGGATTAGGCCTACAGGTAGCGGGCCTAAGCCATCAGTCAGACATTCCCTGAGGGCTCCCAGGATACAAGAGGGTGCAGGCCAGGCTGAGGGACACCCTCAACCCCCCCACCGTCCCCGAGTGCATGAATTTCATGCACTGGGCCTCTAGTAGTTAATAATACTGTGTTGTATATTTGAAAGTTGCTAAGAAAGTAGATCTTAAAAGTTCTCATCACAAGAAAAAAATTTATAACTATATTTGGTGACAGATGTTAACTATCATTTCAATATTATATCTATGAAATCATTATGTTGTATACCTGAAACTAATAATGTATGTCAGTCATATCTCAATTTTAAAAAGCAGTTTAGGAATAACATCTGAATTGACTATGTAGTTTTTTGTCTATGAAAAAGGGGTAATGAAAAAGGTTGTGCATTGCTTCAGAATTTTTAAGTAGAATAGGATACTATTATTCAAACAAAATGGTGAGAAACAGCTGTGTTTTTCTAGGGTGCAGGAAGAAAGGATTATTTATTTCCATAAAAGAAGATAATTCTGGTGTGAAAACATAGTATAATCTTTCATTATTGATCTGGGTTTCTGTGAACTATGCATTTCCCACGGGATGCAGTCCCTTTTTAATTAAAATCTCTTAAAAATTACACAAAATATATACATTTGAAACTTTTATTGTTTATCATTTTGTTTCAAGCTGATAAGCTGAATTACAAAATAAACTATGTCTTGATGCTCTTTAGTAGTACAATCAAATTTTGTCAACATCTTCAAATAATACCAGGAAATATCAAATGGTTGATTTATAATTAATTTAGTTATTTAGGTCCTCACCAAGCCATTTGTTCATTAAATAAATTTTATGCCAAAGAAATAAATAGGAACTGAAACAAAGAAAAAAATTTTTTCACCATTTTATAGTAAACTAGAGACCCAGTGCACGAAATTCATGCATAGGTAGGGTCCCTGGGCCTGGCTGGTGATCAGGGCTGATCTGGGGCCTTCTGGCTGCCAGCCGGGGCTTTCCTTGATTCTGTGCTGCCTCCTGGTGGTTAGCCCATGTCATAGCAAGCGATCGAACTCCCGGTCGAACTCCCGAGGGGACAATTTGCATATTAAGTTTTTATATATATAGATTTGGAAGATGACTTAGAATCAACAAAGTACAAAATCGTAAGGAAGAGACGATGTATATGGAGGCTGGTTTAGGATGGGATGGGAGTAGGTATAATAGTATTTCGGAGTGGTCCCCATTTACATGATGGCTGTGGGACTAAAGGAGAAGGTGATGGGACATGCGTGTGAGAGTTCTAGCTCGGGCTGCTCATTTTGTGTAGCATGCTGTATGCGTGCTTCGTGTTATTTATATTTACATGAATGTATGTATAATATTGGCATCTTTATATATAAGAGCCAAGTGACTGGAATGCCAGAATGACTGGAATAACCGGAATGACTGGTTGCTATGACACGCACTGCGGCAGCCAACCGGCCCCGCCCCAACCTCCTGTGGCCCCTCCCCCCGGCCAGCCCAGCCCCTGATCACCCCACCCACCCTGATCGGGGGCAGGGCCAGCTGGCCAGCTGTTGCAGTTCCCATGCATCCCCTGATCGGCCCCCATGGGGTGGGCTGGCTAGACCCCATCAGTGCACGAATTCGTGCACTGGGCCTCTAGTTGTATAATAAGTAGCCTGCTGCCTTCATTGAGATCAAACATGTACCAGATGTTGATTATCACCAGGACCCACAAAAGTATGACACCCACAAAAGAAAGACTATCCCTCAGGACTAGGGAATCTCTTCTGTGGACCACGGCATTAACCTCCTTTCTAGAAGGTTCCCTCCATAGGCTCTTTCCTCCTGGTCCATCTGCCACCAGAGCTGTCTTTCCAGAACAGCCCTGCTTACAGACCCTCCATAAAATATTGGATGGCTCCATTCCAGTCTCACCTGCAGCCATTTCCTCCTCTGCAGCTGTGCGCTTGTCTTCCTACCCCAGTGCCTTGCTGTGCCTTTGCCAGACCGCCCTTCTCCCCCTAACACCTCAGATACATTTTTTGATACATTTTTTAAAAAAAAACTTGTTATCTTTCAGGCAGAATTAGCTACTTCCCTGCTTTGTGCTCCTCTAGCATTACTTTGTGGAAACCTCTTCCTTCAAGTCTAGCGCTTGTTACATTGTATGCTGGTTATTTGTTCTTAGATGTCACTTGTTTTTTGGGGACTCCTTGGGGGCAAGAACTGTTTCCTTTAATTCTTTCCTTATCTTTGTGTCTGTAGCACTTAGATGCCTCGCGTAAACAATAGTAGGTAAACAGTAAATTCATCCAAATCATACATTATAGCAGGTTTTCCTGCCCCTCCTTTGGCTGAAGGGGAGTCTCTCTGCCCTATAAATAAATGCACAAGGGAAGTGGCACTTGCCCTTTATCAGATGACTGTATGTTTGTCTTGGCTGAGCCGGTCAAGTCTTTGCTCCATTCCCACTGTCTGTGAAATTTTATGATTTCTCCAGCTCATGCCTTCATCTAAACTCCTGTAGTTTGTGGGTGTTTTTTTTTTTTTGTCTTTAGTTATATGTTATTTCTTCCATAATTTTAATCTTTTCTCTCTGTTACATTATTAGCATCTTAGGGACAGAGGTCATGCCTTATATTCCCCCCCTCCAGGGCACACAGCATAATGTTGAACAAACAATGGTAACATGAGAATTCTTTTTTTATTTTTTAAATATATTTTTATTGATCTCAGAGAGGAAGGAAGAGGGAGAGAGAGAGAGAAACATCCATGATGAGAGAGAATCATGGATTGGCTGCCTCCTGCAAGCCCCCTACTGGGGATGGAGCCCGAAACCTGGCCACGTGCCCTTGACCAGAATCGAACCTGGGACCTTTCAGTTTGTAGGTCGATGCTCTATCCACTGAGCCAAACCGGCTAGGGCAAGAATTCTTTAAAATGTTTAGGAATGGGTGATATCTAGGGGAATTTTCATAGTGTAGGAGTTTGAAATGTGTGAGTCTGAGTCAAAACCAGATGCATTCTTGGGATTAAATTCGTGTTACGCGAGGTCTGTCCATCTATAACCTTGAGAAGGCCGTGCCTCCGAAGGGGACCTGAACTTGGCAGGCACAGAGGCCCAGCTGGCGAATTCCTCTCTGCCAGCTCTTAGCCACTCGTCCCTGCAGTGGGACCTGGGTCCCAGGTCCTCAGATTCTCCGAAATGGAGATGAAGAGTTAACTGTGCCTTTCTAATGACGGAGGCCGGAGTCCGAAGAGAAAGGGAGGAAGTCAGCTATTGTTCACCATTTCTTTTCTGCGTGCAGTCCGTGCTTAGAAAGTATAAACAGAGCAGTGCGTTCTGCTTGGCGGCTTCGGATTTCTTTCCTCCCTTAATCGTGATTTTCCCGGAGGGTGGTGTTGGCAACACTTGATAATATGTAGGAAGCGTGTGTACCTGCCTGGAGCCTCTTTCCCATAAACACAGCCTCGTTCAAGGCAGGCTCCTCACTTCACTCCACTGGGCGAGGCACTGCTCCCTTCTGGGTCAACAGTAACAGAGAAGCATCGTCTCCCTGTATTCTTCTCCCTCTCCTCCCTCCCCTCCCTTTCAGTCTTCACTGGCATTATTCCAGCGATAGACACTGTATTTAGTCACCTGAAAAAATTACTCTTGTAGATTACATTCTACTCTCAGATAAGACCCCCATTCTCCATTATTCCAATTACATGTGTATATGTTATCTTTCTAAGAAATGAGTTTGGGATCGTATCCAGTGGTTCTCAACCTTCCTAATGCCGCGACCCTTTAACACATTGTTTGAGGGTAGTTTTTATTGCGCGCTAACAGGTGGCGCGGGCCATTTTTGCTAATTTTTTGCGCAAATGGCAACGTTCAGTAAAATTACGATAACTTTAGTTTACGTATTTATACGTTACCCACATTCTACTGCTAGTCTATAAAAAACGTATTAATACGTGTCCCGCACTCTACTACCAGTCAACGCAACACGTATAAGTAAAACGTATAAATACGTTTCCCGCATACAATGTGTTATTAATACAGTTCCTCATGTTGTGGTGACCCCCAACCATAAAATTATTTGCGTTGCTACTTCATA